TTTTTATTCAATTTATGACGTAAGAAAATTGCGTGTTGTATATTAGTTGTGTAAATTGTAAAGGTTAAGAAATTAGTTTCACATTTTATCGTTATCATCGTCATATAATGGTGTACTTCAGCCGAAATCAATTTCATGACGGAAATTATAACAATCATTCAAATTTCTGACCCCACGTTGGGCGCCATAATTTGTAGATTCATCGGGTAGAACTACACTCAGAACAATAAACATAGTACAAGTGGTTAGTTAGCGTCAGACGCAAATTAGCCGCTGTTAGACGCGCTGCAGTAGCGCTGCAACCGCGCGGTGGCAGCGCGACTGTCACTTTTCATACAATTTCTAGAAGCGCTGCAACCGCGCGGCGGCCGTGCAACAGTCGCGCTGCAGTCACACTCGGTTGCAGTCACGGTTACTGAGATGTACATGTTAGTTTTTCAAATTAATCACGATGGATGAAAATCGAATTGAAGAATTCATAGAGAATGTAAAACAACGCCCTGCAATATGGGATAACAGTTCCGCCAGTTATTCCAATCGACTGGATAAAAAAGGCATGGGAAAATTGATGTCTTAAATTTATTGACAATTTTGAAACTGAAACTACAACTGGAAAAAACATAGCAGGTGAGTCATTTTTAATACCTATATGTGAAGTGTGTGCCCAAGAACTAGGTAAAAGTAATGTATCTTCGTCAGAATCCATCGCGTGACTGGGTCGAAAAATAAAACATCACTAAAAATTTCTTCAGCAGCGCGACTGTCATGCGGCCGCCTCGCGGCTGCAGGGCCTTTAACAGCGGCTAATTTCAATGCGCCCTCAGTCTTATTTAAAAAAAAAAAATCTATTTCCTGTTTATCGAATTGATTCAGGTGTTAATCGTTCGTCGTAGTCCAGCTACTGGCTCCAAGATGGCAGCACGTTGAATAAAATTGAATATAAAATTAAAACGTCGTAACTTTCAATAAAGATATTGAACGATATATCGATTGGGTAAAGTTTAAATTATATTAACAATCCAGAGTTTATTACGTCTTTCTAAATTAGAAACTATGACCAATCATTATAAAGATTTCATAGTGTTTCTCATTTGTTTGTGCGCGTTTTGGCGACAGCGGTTCCGATAGTAATCAAGACTTAAGCCATTTTCATTGTTTTTTTTTCCGTGGGTAGAACAATTAATATTATAGGGTCGTGGGGGGTAAAGTAGTAGTAGGGACTTAAAGTCTTAACTAATAAACTAAATAAATTTAGCACTATAGTCTCTCAGTCTATAAAAAAGACAAAGAAATTAGTTTAAACGATTTTAAAGGGATGTTGCTACGATGCTTCAAATGTAAAAGGCAGATAAAATCTCATCATCATCATCATCATATCAGTCGAAAGACGTCCACTGCTGAACATAGGCCTCCCCCAAAGATTTCCAGACCAGCCGATCGGACGCGACGTGCACCCATCGGTTACCCGCCGCCCTTACCAGGTCATCCGTCCATCTAGTAGGGGGCCGTCCCACTGAACGCCTTCCGGTTCGTGGTCTTCATTCAAGAACCTTTCTGCCCTAACGGCCGTCAGTTCTACGAGCTATGTGCCCTGTCCACTGCCACTTCAACTTGCTAATCCTTCGAGCTATGTCGGTGACTGTCTTTGGTCTACGGATCGCCTCATTTCTGATTCGATCACGTAGAGAAATGCCGAGCATTGCTCGTTCCATAGTTCGTTGAGCGACTTTGAACTTTTTTATGAGGCCCATAGTAAGTGACCACGTCACAGGGCCGTGGGTCATCGCTGGCAACACGCACTGCTCGAAGATTTTTGTCTTCAAGGACTGCGGAAAAAATTTGGAGAATACAAGGTATAACATTATCTTTCTAAGAAATACGACATGATCCTCTTAACCCATTTTTTGGGGAAGAGAACAGTTAGCACAATTGGCACGATTTCGGCAAATACATTGTAATTGAATTTAGCGTAATGATTATTGAAACATGTAAAGCTGTATTTTTTTTGTATGGCTATTTTTTTGTTGATAAGAAGGCACCTCAGCATTGGTCCCATTTAAATTTGAAGAAAATATTCCACCTCTAAGGGTGGCAAACTAGGGGATGAATCCGGTTTCGCGCACTTACCGGTAACCGATTTCAATAAAACTTCGCAAATAGATGTCCACGAACTTTAGAGATCGATTTTTTTTTTTCATTATGAAAATTATAATTATATATAAATAATAAATAAAATAAAATTATTTGACATGCAAAATACATTATAAGGTATAAACAATTATAAAATATCAAAGAATTCGTTCATAAATAATAAAGAAACAATAGAAAAAATAGGAAAATGTAATAATAATAATAATATCATTTATTTTTCTCCCAAAATGTACAAGATAGATGTAAAAATAAATTTAAATAGAGCATGAAAATGGGAGACAGGAGCCCAAAGTAGGTGTAACCTGTGCTATGGCACTCCTGCCTCCGCCTCTCGGTCATAGTACAGACAGTAATCAGAAACAGTTGTATGATACAAAGTAATAATACTACAAAAAAATTTATAAGCGGTACATAATAAACCTCCGGTATATATATATATATATATATATATATTTTATATTATAAAGAAAATAGAATATTGATAAACTAATATGAAATTAAACCGCATTGTTCATTCAAGAAAACGAAAAGAAAATAATTAAAAAAAAAAAAACAATTACTAGAAAAAGTACACATAAGATTCATTATATGTGTACCTGTGAAAATATTGCGTATGTGTGTGTGTGTGTGTTTGTGTGTGTGTGTGTGTGTGTGTGTGTGT